GGGCTGGGGATTCGAACCCGCCACCTTAGGTGTACGTGGCTGGCACCTTAGCTGGTTGAGCTATAGGCGCCGAGCCTAACCTTACTCTTAATTACCTTTTAAGTCATCTTCAGCTTTCACTTCCACTCTTGCCAAACCCACCTGAGAGGCACTTTAGCATGTAGACCAGCCATAATAATGAAGTTTCTGATTTAAGAGGGGAGCCCAAGGGTTGAGTTGGTTTCTTCCTAAACGGAGAACTGAGAGCTAAAGAGGCATAGAGGGTCCCCAGCCCTGTCATGATTTGCCCCAGCTGGCTTTTGTCTGAGGTGCAAGTGGCCACATGGCATCATCCCATGATCAATGTCATGAACAAACAGGGTCCTGAATCTGTACTTTAACTACATCCCAGTAAGGAGATTGAAAGGTAGAAACATCTTCAAAGAACATCCCACACAGAAGAATCAAGGAAAAAACCAAAGCAGATCTTCATGTGATCCTGACCCCAGAAACTAGAGGGGTCAGCGAAGACAAAAGGTAGGAAGAAAATTCCAGATTCATTTGTCTTAGGAAGACACTGCTTTTTAGACAACTGTTTTTTATATTTCCTACGAGCAAATGCATGGGGAGTTAGGGACAGAAAGTGACATACCGGGGAGCCAGATATGCCAGGAATTGGCTTTGGGACCCCCTTGAAAATCTGAGTAAGAGTGATCACTTCCCCCTTCTCCAGACCCTCTCGGCGGAGGCAGGTGTGTGAAGTCAGGAGCCAGGGAGAAGGAAGAGGCGGTCAGGTCTCCAGACCCCAAACCTGATGACATCAGAAAGAGTGATTAACTCCCAGGTACACCATGGGCTATTCACACGGGTGGGGGGAGGGGGGGAAGAATTTATATCCCTTTCATGTATAAAAGGAAACAGATGTGATTTTCTTTACAAAAGAGCATTTCATTAAAAAAAAAAAAAAGGCGAGGCGAGGCTGAGTTAACATAACCATTATTCTCCATCTCAGAAAAAGCAACCCCTGTTTGGCTGTCATTATAGAAGGGAGCAAAATCCTTTCATCCAGTGATTAGTTGTAAACATTCCGGCGCCTTCTGGGAGCAGGCCTCTGTTTCCCGTCTTACGCCGAAGCCATTTTCTTAGACTAATGTTTTATACACACAGCTCAGATACAATGCAAACTCCCGGTACCCCAAAGGCAACGGGGCATTCGTTTATACTAAATCAGAAGTGTCGCCCTTGACAACCTGCAGCGGTGAAACATTTATTCAGTCTTGCATTCCTGGCACTTAGAATTATTTCTTTCATGCCTGATGGCCAAATTACAATATGGCAGGTTTCCCTGGAGCCATAGGATCATTAGTGCCAGCTCACAACATACTTTCAACTGATACGGCATTTCATGTACAGCTGCCAATCAAAAAATGGGATATGCAAATGAGGAGGGGAGCACGGGTGTACAATTCCTGTACCGTGAGCTCCTCACAGATTTCCTTAATGACTAGCAGTCATTCCGCTGAGTGGAAGGAGTGGAGAGAACACAGAGGGAAATTTCCCCAGGAAGCTGCTTGCAAGAGCCAGAAGTTTTCA